CACATCACTTTTTAGAGAGATGTAACTCCTATATGGAATTTAAAGTATAGCATATATTTGACCTCATGCCTTGGAATCTTGAGTTTTTATACTGATTTACACATTACTATATAAACACTGAGTATAAACACAAAGAAGAAAAATGTTTACACACGCGTTTAGATCTAAGAGAGTTCTGTTGTCGTAAATATCTCCATAGCGTCACTGGAGCAGGGTCTCTTAATGTGTTTTTTTTTTGTAATGGGGAGGGAAGGAAGATGTATGTTATTGGGTAAGACGGTGAAATGTGTTTTTATGCTTGGGTTCACGACGAAAGGTGTTTGCTTGTGTGCTAATGGGGAAAAGAATAGTATTTTGGTGGCAATGGTCTGTGTTAACTTGAGACACACACACACACACACACACACACACACACACACACACACACGCACACACACACACACACACACTTCTTCCCACAGTACTAAGTAAAAGAGGTAAATATTTAGCTATTGTCAACCAGATGTAAGATTAGCAGTGCTGATAGCTTGACTGACTGACTGACTGACTGACTGACTGACTGACTGAATTACTTACTTACTTACTTACTTAATTACTTACTTTCTCGCATAACTTTTAGTCTAGTGGATTAACTGACAAACATACTGAAATAATTTTTTACCAGAGAGAGAGAGAGAGAGAGAGAAAAGAAGAGAAATGAAATACCCACAGCCAACACAGGTGTGAGCGTGTAAGCAGGTAGGACACAGCACCACCTGAGAATACCTGTAGGTGTAACAGTCGCTCCACCTGACCTGTAGTATGTTCTCACCTGCTTGACTGATATTGAACTTAATGTCACAAAGTTTAAGATTATATGTCTAGGATCTCTCTCTCTCTCTCTCTCTCTCTCTTTAAGGGCAGGAGTGAAGTGAGTTTGACCAGTCGTGTGTTCACCCTCGTCGTGTGGGCTTCATAGATCCGGGTCTGTTGGCTGCCTCCTAACAAAGTCCTGAAAGCAGATGTTTACCGTACATGAGAAGCTGGACACACACACACACACACACACACAGGTGGTGATTAAGTTTCTCCTCTCTCCATTTTCCTCCTCACCTCCCATTATTGTTCCCCATACACACCTATTCATTATCCACCCAATCCTCCATTCTTAACCCCATATCCTCCCATTGTACCCATCATAAACCTCATTCACCACACACCATCATACCTCCCCCCCCTCCTCCTCCTCCCCATTCACAACCATTCATCTTGTCTCCCCATTACATAAAAGTGAGCTGATAAAAGATGCGTAACAGGCTAATGATAACTTATCTGTGAATGTCATTAAGGAGATAACCCCTTGTATCCTGTTCTATACCCCCCCCCACCCCGTCTCTTCTTCACTATCGGAGTTTTTCCAAATACACTATAAACTTCCTTAGGTTAGGTTAGGTTTAGGTTTAGGTTAGGTAATCATTAGGTCAAATAAGCTGGGGTGGAGATTCTAAAGGTGATCCCATTAGCTTACCTGAGAGAAGGTGATCATATGAATTGTCAGTTTGTTATATTAAAGAAGTTAAAATATATAACTAATAAATACTGTTTAATGAGATTTGTTTTAGGTTTTTCCTAGTTAAAACTTGTGTAGTAAACTGCTATTAAATATTTGTATCTCTTTATCCATCATCAGTTAATTGTATACTAGTAACCTTCGTCTTAATTAAAATGAATAACTAAAAAAAAAATAAAAAATAAAAAAAAAGTCAAGATTTCAAGGTGTATTTTTTCGCATCATTTAAGTTATTGTAATTTAAAAGCTAATTGGAAATGTATTAATTTTCTTCAGATAGATGGATTTGTTAGTTGCCTTTAAAGATTGTTAATACTCATACAAGGTTCGACCATACTAGTACTGTTGTTGTTCTAGAGTATTCTATATTTAATTTTCTGGTTGGATAAGGTTTCAATTCAGAATGTACTTCGGTTTAATTCATATCCTTTTCCACATTCTACTAGCTACTATCCCATTCTTATTCCCATTCCTACTTCCCATTCCCACTCCCCACTCCTATTCCCCATTTCCCAATTACCACGATATACCCTAGTACCAATTTCTATATCGGCCATTCCCCCATACTCTCTCTCACTGCCAGTCATATCCCCATTCCCAATCCCATTCCCGTATACTAGCACCCACCCCCGCCCTCCCCTTCCCTATTCTCCAGCCCACCTGTGACCCCCATTCAGGTCATTACTTAACGACCAGTACATACAACACCCCAAAAAGCCTTTGTTTACTCACTGGCGAGAAAGACACGCCCAGGGCCGCTGTATTGACGTTAAGGGGGGAATAGGTTGTAATGTATTCTGCCGAGGACAACACGAACGCCTAAGTAATCCGAGTGGTAAGGCGACTCAGCACACTGTCTGTCGCGAACGGTGGAGTGGAGGCGGATTTCCTTCTGTAGGTGGGAGAGCTTGTGGGAGGTGTTAGGGAGGGCGTGTGCGCGTGTGGGTAGGGCGTGTGCGTGTGTGGGGAATGAGGTGTGTGTGTGTGTGTGTGGAGGGGAGTGAGGTGTGTGTGTATGTGGTTCATGAAGTCAACAAGGCCAGGAGTTGCCTGCAGTCCTTACAAGTACGGAATATTGTATTGCGAGAGTGTGTGTGTGTGTGTGTGTGTGTGTGTGTGTGTGTGTATATAAGTCTGTATGTATGCATGTGTGTGTACGTATAAGTGTATGTATAAGTGTATATGTATGTATAACAATGGAAAAATGAATAGTGAGAAAGAGGAACGATAGAAGATGCGGAGACATAGTAGAAATAAAAGAAAATAGTAGACATATAAACAGAAATAAGAGGATAAGGAAAGGAATGAAAAAAAAACAACAAAGAAGGAAAATAGCAGGTGAGTGATTAAGGTAATATTTATGGTGTAGGTAGCAGTGGTGGTAGTGAGAGAGGGTGTGGTTCGAGGACACCTGGGGGTTGGTGGTGGCCGTGAGCTTCACTCGTCCATCCGTCCGTCCACACCCAAACACCGTGTGTCAGGACCCTTACCTCGCCCCGCCCCGCCCCACCACGCCCAGCCCCACCCCACCCCGCCCCGCTAGCTCTTCCTGTTCCTCTTGTTTGTTGAGAACACACCACGAGGCTTGGCTGAATCCTGGTTTGTTATTTCACATCCCTTAATAAGAAAGTTTATTCATTTCCAGGTGACAAGAGAGAGTGGCTTAGGTTTGTGGCAAGATACCTTAAAGCCTTGTAGGTGGTGGTGAAGGGCGTGGTGGTGGTGGTGATGTGGGGGTGAAGGGCGTGGTAGTGGTGGTGATGTGGGGGTGAAGGACGTGGTAGTGGTGAGGGTGGTGGTGGTGGTGATGTGGTGGTGAAGGGCGTGGTGGTGGTGGTGATGTGGGGGTGAAGGGCGTGGTAGTGGTGGTGATGTGGGGGTGAAGGACGTGGTAGTGGTGGTGATGTAGGGGTGAAGGACGTGGTGGTGGTGGTGGTGATGTGGAGGTGAAGGACGTGGTGTAGTGGTGGTGATGTGGGGTGAAGGACGTGGTGGTGGTGGTGGTGATGTGGGGGTGAAGGACGTGGTGGTGGTGGTGATGTGGGGGTGAAGGACGTGGTGGTGGTGGTGGTGATGTGGGGGTGAAGGACGTGGTAGTGGTGGTGATGTAGGGGTGATGTTTGGGAGATCTTGGTAGTGATATGAGGGGGAAGAGCATGGCGTGATAGTGATGATGATGATGATGATGATGATGTGAAGGAGGACGTTTCACTGGAGACATGGACAAAAGGGCGTTGCCTCCTACCCTAGGGATTGGTGGCCTCCCTCACATGGACAAGCGGTTAGCATTGACCATGAATACCACGCCCTCACCCCACCACTTTTTACTCCCGGATATCGTCAGGCAGATCCTCCCCTTGCCTTCTTCAGGTTTTTTTTACATAAGGTGAATCTTCCGTGAAAGTGTTAGTATGATGGGAGTCTTAAATGAGCCTTGTGAGTCTTAGGAATGACTGTGGTGTGGTGTAGTGTGGTGTTGTGTGGTGTGTTGTGTGGTGTAGTGTGGTTTTGTGTGGTGTTGTGTAGTCTACCTGTAGTGTGGTGTGTGGTGTGAGGTGTAGTGTGGTTTTGTGTGGTGTGGTGTGGTGTAGTGCGTCGTGTAGTGTTATATAGTGTCGTATAGTTTGGTGTTGTGTGTAGTGTATTGTAGTGTAGTGTAGTGTAGTGTAGTGTAGTGTAGAGTAGAGTAGAGAAGGCTAATGTACTGTGGTGTGGTGTGGTGTAGTGTGTCGTGCTATGTAGTGTCGTATAGTGTTAAGGTAGTGTGTGGTATAATGTTGTGTAGTGTTGTGTAATGTGTAGTATAGTGTCGTGTAGTGTTGTGTAGTGTCGTGTTGTGTAGTGTTGTGTAGTGTGGTGTAGTGTCGTGTCGTGTTATGTAGTGTCGCGTAGTGTGGTGTAGTGTGTAGTATAGTGTTGTGTAGTGTTGTGTAATGTGTCGTGTAGTGTTGTGTAGTGTCGTGTAGTATAGCGTCGTGTCGTTTAGTGCATGGTGTAGTGTGTCGTACCTTTACTCCAGTGTTTTATCGTCTTAAAAGTGTCCCACATCTTTAATGATTATATGTTGGGAGGATCACTTAACCTGGGAGAGATTTTGAGGCTTTTTCCACCACACGTTATCGTAGGTCCTTTGCTAACCCTCATTTGGTCTTCTTCACACTGCTGTTTTGTCAATAAATATTACAATGTCCTGCTACTAGATTATAGTTTTGTGTGTTATGGAAATAAATGGTGAACATAGCAGGGAAATTGGGTTTATTTATCATGCCTTATGGGCAATAAAATAATATACAGATGTCGTTATATTGTACAGCGGGACTGCAGCGTCATTCTGCCACTATCACCGGTAGTGTCAGCTGACGCCGCCTCCCGAGGGAGACTCAGTATGAGGCGACGGGGCCAGCCAGGTGAGCAGCGCCATAGGGGGAGACAGCACCATGAGCAACAGCACCTACGGAATAAACAGCAGGAACAGCAGCGACGTGGTGCTGTACGGGGACGGGATGGGCATAGGGTGCGGGCACAGCGTAGGGCTGGGGCACGGCGTAGGGCTGGGGCACGGCGTAGGGCTCGGGCACGTACTGGTGGTGAATGGGAGTGACTTCCTTGGTCTTGTAGACAGGCTTGGGTACGGCAACGTCGTAGGTCTTCTCGATGATCTTAAGCTCGGGGCGAACCTCAGTGATCTGGGGAGTGTAGGAGACGACGGGGCGACCAAGAGCCTTGACGGGCGTGCGCTGGACCAGCAGCTCAGGGGCGGGGGCGTCCCCAGCGGGTACGGGCGCCGGGATGTTGAGGTTGAAGTTAGAGTAAGCCACAGCGGCAGGGGCCACAGCCACATGTGCGGGGATCTCGACGGCCTTTAATGTGGGAGCCACAGCCAGAGGAGCGTGAGCCACAGCCAAGGGGGCGTGGGCCACAGCCAGGGGGGCGGGGGCAGAGAAGACGGGAAGACTCTTTACGTTAACCTCAACAGGAGCTGGCTCTGGGAAGGTCTGTGTCACCTGACGAAGCTCACCCTGGACGGCGTACCCGGGCACGGCGGCTGCCACAGCAGGAGCCACGGCCACTGCCTCGCCTACTGTCTTAAAGTGGACACCAGCAGGCACGTGAGCCGTCACCTCTTGCTGCACGGCCAGGGGCGCGCCATGGAAGGCCACAGTGCCCGCTGCATATGTTGGGGCCGCCACACACCCAGCCACCAAGAAGGGAAGCAGCACCTGGAAAGAAATGACCTTTATTTGGGTGTTCACAGATTACTTAAATATGAACCGTGCAGCAAAAGTTGTATCAACACCTTCAACCTTCAGTAGTTTGTACAAATCTTACATGGCAACAGGAAGGTGTTCAATACTAACTAACCCGAACATGTAAAATATACCGTGTGTGTGTGTGTGTGTGTGTGTGTGTGTGTGTGTGAGTAGCTGTATATTCAAGCACTCACACTGAAACATGTACGGACATCCTCGTAGACTTTTAACACATCACATTATTGTATGAATCGGTGACGGACACTTAAACCGAGTCACTTCAACTTGCTTATAATCACGTTAAGTACACATAGGAAACTCATCTCATCCTCCGAGTGTTGATGGCATGCTGGCCTCTGAAAGATAACACGAACCAACTAACCTAACAGCCCAATCTAACCCAATGATCTTAGACTTTTCCCATTAGTGGAGTTAAGTGCCATAGTCCCTACAGCTCTCATATATCAAACAAACATCCGGAGCTGCTCTCAGTATTATAAAACTAACGCATGAAAGTGATGTTAACTAATACCAAAGACATATTATTAACTTAAGCTGAAAGTATCGATAATAAGTTAACATATACCTGTAAGTGGTGGATAAAACACAGGACCACTTAAGTAACTATTATAAAACAGGACCACTTAAGTAACTACTATAAAACACAGGACCACTTAAATAACAACTATATCGAACTACGAACGAAAGAGACACTATTGGAACCACATGGACGACTCACCAGGGGATTCATGTCGTCAGGAGGGCGTCGTAGTTCTGGCCTGCCTAGGGATGGTCGTGAAAGGTTTATATAGGGAGATGCCACCACCACCCGTCCTTGTGTAGGTTAAGACCACGCCCTACACACCTGCCCCCTGAGGCATCCACCGTTCACCTCCATCCTGGGCACTCACTAGCTCCTCCTCCTCCTCCTCTTTCTCCTCCTCCTGCATCTCTCATTACTGACTCACCTCACCTTACCTCTTTGTGTGTGTGTGTGTGTGTGTGTGTGTGTGTGTGTGTGTGTGTGTGTGTGTGTGTGTGTGTGTGTGTATGTGTAGATTTGGATTCACTGGGTCTGTTAAGCCACTCTGCTGCGTCTGTTTTGATTGTAAACGAATTCTTAAAACAGTTGTGTAAAAATCTTCTCTTTTTTTGTTAACGTTGCTAAAAGATTTTGTTATTGTTGTCATCAAAGTTATATTGATTTCTGTTGTTATTTACCTGAGGATTGGATACACCAGCTTATTTCACCTGAAGATTAATCACCCTAACGTTAACTGGAGGGGAATAGGTTAGTTTATGAAAGGTAAAGTTAAGCTGGAATAGTTTAGGTTAGGCGAGTGTTAGGGAATATCTAATCTTCAGGTGAAATAAGCTGGAATATCTAATCTTCAGGTGAAATAAGCTGGAATATCTAATCTTCAGGTGAAATAAGCTGGAATATCTAATCTTCAGGTAAAATAAGCTGGAATATTTAATCTTCAGGTGAAATAAGCTGGAATATCTAATCTTTAGGTGAAATAAGCTGGAATATCTAATCTTCAGGTGAAATAAGCTGGAATATCTAATCTTCAGGTGAAATAAGCTGGAATATTTAATCTTCAGGTAAAATAAGCTGGGGTGTCTAATCTTCCGGTAAAATAAGCTGGGATATCTAATCTTCAGGTGAAATAAGCTGGAATATTTAATCTTCAGGTAAAATAAGCTGGGGTGTCTAATCTTCAGGTAAAATAAGCTGGGATATCTAATCTTCAGGTGAAATAAGCTGGAATATCTAATCTTCAGGTGAAATAAGCTGGAATATTTAATCTTCAGGTAAAATAAGCTGGGGTATCTAATCTTCAGGTGAAATAAGCTGGAATATCTAATCTTCAGGTAAAATAAGCTGGAATATCTAATCTTCAGGTAAAATAAGCTGGAATATCTAATCTTCAGGTGAAATAAGCTGGAATATCTAATCTTCAGGTAAAATAAGCTGGAATATCTAATCTTCAGGTGAAATAAGCTGGAATATCTAATCTTCAGGTAAAATAGCTGTATTAATCTTCAGGTAAAATAAGCTGAATATCTAATCTTCAGTAAATAAGTGGTGTTAATCTTCAGGTAAAATAAGCTGGTGTCTAATCTTCGGTAAATAAGCTGGAATATCTAATCTTCAGGTAAAATAAGCTGGAATATCTAATCTTCAGGTGAAATAAGCTGGAATATCTAATCTTCAGGTAAAATAAGCTGGAATATCTAATCTTCAGGTGAAATAAGCTGGAATATCTAATCTTCAGGTAAAATAAGCTGGAATGTCTAATCTTCAGGTAAAATAAGCTGGAATATCTAATCTTCAGGTAAAATAAGCTGGAATATCTAATCTTCAGGTGAAATAAGCTGGGGTGTCTAATCTTCAGGTGATCCATTATTTAATATGTACAGCATTCACGTTGGAGATCTGATAGAGTAAAATAAGTATTATCAATAACTCATTTCAAACTTCTAATTATTCTAAAGATATTTTCAGTGTTAAGCAGTTCAGGTCTGGCCTCTTCAAAGATGTCATTACGTAACCTAACCTAACCTAACCTAACCTAACCTAACCTAACCTAACCTAACAGAACTGTACCACCCATTTTACGATGGCCAAAACGTGTTCCGCCTTCAGGAGATGAGCAGCGTTGGTCCCGGAGATGTGGTAGTAGTGGTGGTGGTGGTGGTGGTGGTAAGGCGTCACCCACTCGGATCAACCAAAGGGTATTACTCCCTTCAACACTAACTTGTTTTCTTGTATGTCTAAATCTCTCTCTCTCTCTCTCTCTCTCTCTCTCTCTCTCTTTAAATGGAGGCTATAAATAGAGGTGGTGTGTAGGTTTGATCTCTATTCCATGTTAGTCGTCTAAGAGTGCGTGTAGGCGTATGGAGGCGTCGGTGTGGGAACTCTTGTTATTTACCTCTGTTACGTAATGGGGGTGTTTGGTACGAGAACATCCTGGAGGGGGGTTAAGGGCAGAGTATACACTAGTTGGGAAGTGTATGAAGTATATCGTAAGAGTATGAAGTATATCGTAAGAGTATGAAGTATATCGTAAGAGTATGAAGTATATCCTCCATTACGAAATGAATCACACGATATAAATCACAATCTGGTTTTCCCGATATAATTGTGATTTTTTTATAATTTAACAAGATTTATTTGTAGGTTATGACAACATTCCTTGGCTCTCCATGTAGACAAAACGTAGATTTTATTATTAAAATTATTAAACTTATTTTTTTTCGTCTTAAAACATCAAATACTTATACAAGAAGAGAGTTGTAAGGTGTAATAAATTCTCAGTACCTCATAACATCGAGTCATCAACATTATATGAGATTAAAATTGAGACTTTATTAACTTTATTTACCCAGATTAATGCAGATACAACGTCACCATCAACAACAATAGCAATGGATGAGTCTTTAGAGTACAGTGGATGAGTCCTTAGAGTACAATGGATGAGTCTTTAGGGTACAATGGATGAGTCTTTAGAGTACAATGGATGAGTCTTTAGAGTACAATGGATGAGTCTTTAGGAGTACAATGGATGAGTCTTACATGGATGGTCTTTAGAGTACAATGGATGAGTCTTTAGAGTACAATGGATGAGTCTTTAGAGTACAATGGATGAGTCTTCAGAGTGCTGGAGATCGCTCGAAGATGTCTATAGTATAGGGTAGGAGGGTAGGAGTTGAAAGTCGTGGTTCCCCTTCACATACAAGGTCCTAGAGGCCCCCACCCATCCTTCGTGGCGTTGTCCTGTACCCTAGGAAGACGCCCTATAGTCCAGGCTTGGCAACAGTGTGTGTGTGTGTGTGTGTGTGTGTGTGTGTGTGTGTGTGTGTGTGGACGTCCTACCCCTCCCATCCTCAAGGCTATGGAGGGAAGTTTAGAGGCCAGACGAACGATTCCACATGACCGATGAAAAAGTGCGACAAAAACCCGTTGCTCTGGATCTTGGTGAGGCGTCTGCTGAGAGGGACTTGTACGGTCCTGGGTAGGGAGATGTTGAGTGGTGTGGGAGGAGTGAGTGGTGTGGGAGGGGTGAGTGGGTGTGGGGGAATGAGTGGTGTGGGAGGGGTTAAGGGTGAGTTTTGTAGGAGGGGCTAGAGGTAAGTGTTGTGGGGGGGTTAGGTTAGGTTAGGTTAGGTTAGGTTAGGTTAGGTTAGGTTAGGCAAGTAGTATTAGATTAAGTCAGAAGTATAAGTACTATTAAAAGATTACTTAAGAATTATGCCCCATCTGATATCATTCCATGTAGTTGGGATCTGCCGTTTACGACCTGTACTTAGAGTGTATTACACAGATGGCTCATGTAAGGACTGGGCCATTGTGGGGTAACGAGAGAAGGGTTTATGTCGTGGCCTCAAATAAACACTAACAATAAACCGGGTGAGAACTGAGAGAGAGAACCCACCTGAGTGTGATCATAACCTAACCTAACCTAACCTAACCTAACCTAACCTAACCTAACTTAATTGTCGTGGTATTGATATTATTATTTTTGTGTTTTGAAAGGGTAATATTTTTTTTATATTTGGATTTATGTGTTAGTTGATAGAATTTTGTGGCGTTTTGACTGCGTTGGAAAATCTACAGGTAGTTGTAATGGGTGTGGAAATTAATTCAAGAATAGAGTGAAAATAGACTCGGTCCTGCCTGGAGGTCCCGGCGGGGGGTAAGAGAAACAAGAATAGTTATATACATAAAGTGTTGTTTTTAAACAGTCGTTCAGGTTTCATACACTCCCATCTCAGGAGACGCTCAAGATGCATCTCTGGCAAACTTGGGAACAAGCAAGAAGTTAGCTTTTTTCTTCCCAGGTAAGAGTTCACAAACTTGGTAAACTGGCAGTGGGAAGAGTATGTGCTGACAATGGTGTGTCATGAGGGCACCCACAGTACCTCGCCTCACACCAAACTTGTGTTCCTCGCCTTAAAAAGAATGTGTTGGCGATTCCAAACTTTTGTGTGCCAAAGGATGCGGGATACTTTTTTTTTGTTATTAAGCTTAGCAAGGAAGTTTACGTGTGTTTTTATTTTATAAGTAAGAATCAGAAAACTTGTTCTCGTTAACCAGAGTGCCTCGTTCTTTTCCAATTAAGTGTGTGTACATAGTGATGAATATTTGAGTGAAAATAAACTTAATCTACGAGAAACTGAACCAAAACGTTTTATACCGAAAAAGAGTTTGCCAGAATAAACTTCACTCGAACATATTTGCAAGTTTTTTGTTTGAAGCTCTTTGTTTAAAGCTCTGAAGTACAGTATAGTTTATCCTTGATGCCGTGTTTTTTGTATGTTGTGTTTTTTTTCTCAAAGGGAAATCGTTTGGTTCTGTGTCTATGGTGTCCTTTTTTTTTTTCTTTCTTTTTTTTTTTTCAGTAACATACAATAGTCGTTTGTTTATGTATAAGTCGAGAGAGTTGATGTAGGCTATGTCATTAACAAACAGACACTTTCCTCTGGCTCCTTTAAATGACTCAATACTCTGCGTGCACAGCTATACCAGGTAAGGCTAAAAGTAATTTGGACCTGACCTGACACTTCTGACTCGAGCAAATTAACACCGAGTGGGATTACGAGATCCTACTGGGAAATGTGTACATAAACTCGTGTAGCTATAAAGTAGTGTGTGTGTGTGTGTGTGTGTGTGTGTGTGTGTGTGTGTGTGTGTGTGTGTGTGTGTGTGTGTGTGTGGTACCTCCTGATGTAGCCCCAAGCACCTACAGGAGGAAGATGAGTAACTAACTCCCTCCTGCATGAGTCACCCCTAGACGGGAAGCTTAAGTAATTGACTTATTTATAACTATTAGAA